AGGGAAGAGGTGACGCTTGGCATAGTTCACTTCTTCAAGGTCAGGAGTACCGTACAGTAACAGATTCCTACAAAGATCCGAGCCGCCCTGTAATGTGTTCTGAATCTCGTAAGCAGAACTACGATCACTGCAGCGGTAAATATCCGTCCCTGCTGTCACCTAGAGGAAGAGAGTTTGGACTGTCAGTCCACAGAAAATTCTCACATTTTGCGAAGATCCAAAAATTTGGAAATTACAGTCAAACCCGTATTAAGCGGCCTTGTGTCACCCTCTATTTAGCGGTCAGTAGTGAAAGTCCCGAAAATTGCATCTGTCACTTTATCACTGTAAACAAGACCTCTGTTGAGCGGTCACTTCTATTAAGTGAATGCAGTCACCCTTTTGCAAGTCCCAGTGAGCTGGGTTTTTTATTCACAAGATTATGTTTGGATTTCTTGCCAAAGCACATTGAAAATCACGTAAACTGTCTTTCGGTTTAATTAACGTGGAGCCATTGTGTTGCTTTCTTTTATCAATTGAAATTACAGAGTTTGTATTATGTTTGTATTGTTGACACTTTTCGCCCAACCTGTATTAAGCGGTCAGTGTGCCATTCCCCAAGGGTGACCGCTTAACACAGGTTTGACTGTAATTTGTTGTTGTTAATTTTATCTTACCTTTGGGATGTATGCACACAAAAAAGAGGGCAGTGGAGTGGGTTGTAGTGTCCTGTCTATAGGAAACACTCTGGGAGCAGGGTTCAGATGAAATCCCTCAGGGTAACTCATCAGCAGCGAGGAACCATGCCTACAAAATAATGTCAAATAATGTCACTTGCTCGTTTACAGTCCACTGTAATATTAACCGTGAATACGTAGTAAGCTGCACTCCAGTTTGGAAGCTCAAATTAATATTACTTTGTTCAAAAATATTTAAGACAACGAACTTCAAAGTTGCATGGTAAACAAACATACAATTTCAAAGCACCAAATGTTACTATTAAAGACCTTTTAGATGTTACTTTCATACCATCTTGTATATCAATTTAAGACAAAATGTGGATGCAGTAACTATCCACCCTACATAGAGTTCTATGCTCGACACCTCTTTATTACTATATTACTTTTAAAATATCAACTGTAGCTACAAAGTATTTTGATAAATTTAACGCGGTTTTTGAAAAACAAGGAAAGAGAATAATTTCAAGTTATTACCTTGTCGGAGAGAAAGGCTGCATTGGATGTGCTGATGATTGGGGCGGGGCCATTTGTCCATGGGGTGCGTGTAATGGGGGCAGTACATGCCCCGTGGGAGAATGCAGGGATGTCCGGCCATGCCCGGGAGGCGAATAAATCAAAGGAGACCCTTGACTAGAGTGCATGGATGGAAACATGTCCCAAAGAGGAATGGTTGTCTCCCACCGGAAACTCTCCTGAGAAAGGTCCATGAGAATGCTGATGGGTCCAGGAAGGAGACACTGGTATGCCGCCATGGTGATGCTTGTTAGGCGGGAGCTGCGTAGAAAAAAACGAGTGTCCATAATGTTTTGTGGGGGAGAAGGCCCCCGTCGGAGAGTGCTTAAGAGGAGATGGTGGTAGCTTTGCAGTCGGGGATATCACTGTGTGATGTGGATGGTGGCCTCTGTGTCGCGGATCTTTCCTCTTTGTTGGGGAGGTTGGAGTCACCACACTGCCTGATATCCGTCGAGTTCTTGTTCTACTGGAAGTGTCCTTTCCTTTGCCTCTGAGTGGTTTGTGATCGTCATCGTCCAGGATGGGTTGTACAAGGTGGGTCAGGTGTGACGACACTCGTGAGGTATAGCCGGTGAATACCAGCGATGGAAGGATGGAACTGGACTGGATACTTGGAAAGGAGGTGGAAGACTCCGGCCACAGAATCAGATCCTGGCGACCCAAGCACCTGTCACAGAACAAGTCAGAGTATTACCATGACCAAGCAAAGGAGTTTGAAAAACGTTCAGAAAAATACTTCAATGTAATAGCGTAGAGCCTCCTACATGTGTGCAGAAGGTCATAGTTTGGACTCCTGTAGGGAGTAGCTTGTGACACTGACTGATAAACATCTTTCCCATACTTCAATGTTGTAGAAAGTTTCTATTCTAACCACTTTGGACCAGACAAAATTTGTTTGTACTAAACTGACTGAGCCGGAAATAGACTAAATTTTAAATTATCTCATTTCAGGTAGATTTTGAATGTGATTGGAAGGTCAGCAAATATTTACGATAGTCTCTCGAAGATTGCAAACTACAAACTCACCTATTTCTAGGCTTATCCTGGGCCCAAAAGCGTTTATGATGAAGAAGGCTTATTTCCTTCCAAAGTACGACTAAGGCTAACAATCTGAAATTTTAAAAGTGACAAACTATTAGTAACAAAAATAATGATGTGACAGTAAGCAAGTGATCAACTTGAAGCTGAAAAAATAAATGAACTGCTGTTGATTTAAACAGCTCACATTTCAAGTACAGTCAAAGCTCCCGTAAGCGGACACCCTCAGGAAGTAGAAAAAGTGTCCGCAACTGGAGCTGGCCGCTTATGGGAATGTGTAATACAAAGTTTGTATGAGCTAGAGTTCAAACAGGGTTTGTCAAGGTGGCCGTAAGTAGAGCTGTCAGCTCATTTATCAAACGAGTGCAAATCTGATGAAGGGCTGATGTTTGAAATGTCAAAGTTTAATCTACAACAGACTACACACTATTAAAATAAAGTTAACTAAATGCAATAATGTATATTATAAAATTAATAATGGGTGGATAGCGGTGAAAGTGATCCAGCAAAAGAAACAATAACCAAAGCCCAGGAAAAACCTTGTGAAGCTCACCTAAATACAAGCCCCCTTAACATCATAGCCGACAGCTGTGCTGGTGACAAATTGATGAATCTCAAAAATGAGAAGCAGTCACTTGGGGGACCTGAAAAAAATAAATCAAATAAGCAAAATTTCTTTACACAAATAATTATAAGCCATTTCACAAAACTAAAGCTGCAATTTTCAATGTCCAGAGGGTTTAAGTTATCTCAGTTATGACGACCAGAACAGCAAAGGAAAGTTAAGAGAGACGTGCTAAATATAATCACAATTTGTTGTGCCAGCCGGCAATGTGTTACCCCAAGACACGCAATACATGCAGAGGCCTATGAAGCTGGCTGTAGCCCTTTGCACGCATTACGCACCTATGATGCTATATGATCAAAAGCCGTCTCTCTTAGTGTACACATGATATTTCCAGGTTTGTAAACCACTAACTACAGGACGAAAACATGGTTTGTTATATACCTGCAATTTCATGTGAATGATCAGCATCCAAAGAGTGATGAATGTACTCCTCAGTGCCGATATTCAGCAGATTGTACAGGATTCTGAAACAGACACAAAACATGACCCAAGGTCAAAACCTTAATTCTCCTTTCTGATTACTAACAGGGGTTTCATTAATTTTTGAAGTAAGCGGCTTACCATGGTGGAATAGGCGGCTGTGACCATTAAAGGGGCCGTAAGGCCCCTTGATACTAGGAGGGTATGGGGGCATGCCCCCCCAGAAAATTTTGTAAATGTAGAAGCTCGGAAATGCAATTTCCAGCATTCTAGGAGTCAAATCTAGTGCTATATATGACGATTTTATCGATCACAGTAGATCTCAGGTATTTTAAACGATCTTGCGATTATTCTATATGAAGTTTGGAGTTTAAGACTTACACTGTTACAGTCGTTGTTTTTTTCTTTCATAAATCTTATAAGTAAACTCTCAGAAGGCCAGAAGGCTTGATTAGTAAGCGGCAGCAAGAGGCAACGTAGGCGGCGGTAGGCCTGCCGGTAGCCGGCTTCTAATGAAAACCCTGTACTAAACATTTCTTGTGATGTTAGTTTAGAGAATTTAGTGGTACATCAAGAGAATGTTCCCTAATTGATGATTTTCTTTAATCTCATCACCTGTCTGCTTGGCAATGTATTGGTATTGTCAGGAGAAATTAGATGTTGATCACTGTTGTTTTTAGAATGCCTGTCCTATTCAGAAACTCTACAGGTACTACAACAAGATTAGCCAAAAACACCACTTGTTCTTTAACTTCCTTGTAGTCTTGCAGTGAAGAGCGACAAAGTTTTTGACAACTTTCTGATGGCTTTCGTTTCAACTGGCCAATCAAAATGCAAGGACTATGAGAGGCGGAGATGTCAAGCTCCATGTCCGCATTCTGATAATTGACATCTCCACCTCCAACAGTTCTTGTAATTTTATTTGCTAGTTTAAATGGAAGCCATCAGAAAGTTGTCAAGTGGCAACGGTAGTGCGCTCTGTAACAAACTGTAACGAGCCTAGTGGCCCACAACTGCCAGAGCTTCTCCCAATTTCTGTAAGCATGACGTGACTAGGAGTATCGCTACTCCCCCTGGATGGGATGCTAGCCCATCACAAGTTCCCCCCCCCTCCCACCCGAGCATTTTTCAGGTCACCCTAACAGTTCACTGGTATCCATTTATACTCCCAGGTGGAGAGAGACACTGTGAGAGTACAGTGTCTTGACCAAGAGCACAGCACAATGAACCTGGCCAGGGCTCGAACCCAGACTGTTCATTCTGGAGTTCAATGTGCTAACCATTAGGCCACTACAATTCTCTTTACTTCCTTGTTCTCAAATATGCTCAAACAACTTTCATAAACTTACTTGGTCCTACAAGGCGTTGAAAAATCCAAGATGCCTGCAATTAAAAGTTACACAAGTCAATACAAACTAAAAAAAACTTCCATAACATAGAACATTGTCGACATGTTTAAGCATGTTCCACATGATCAAGAAAGTTGTCCAAATTCAAATTCTCCACTTTACCTTCTCTGTAGATCAGTTTGGGCAGGTGGAATGATGGAACCTCTACATGAATGGGAGAGCGAACATCTCTTCTCTCAAACAGCTCAGGATGGTTGCAGACCTAAGTCATGTCAAAAGAGAGGTTTTCAAAGAGAGACAGTCAGAGACACAAGCTATGTGGAAAATTCTGAGTTCCCCCAACAGGAGTCAAACCTAGGACCTACTGCACACCGGTCAGATGCTCAACCACTGAGCTATAGGAGACTTGTGGGAGCTTAAGCCATATAACTTGGTTCAAATGTGACAAACATACCAGGGTTCTCAGTTGAACCCGTAACCCGTAACACCTGTCACGGGTGTCGCTAATAAGTGTTACGGCTGTGACAGCTTCGATCACAACCAAAATAAACTTACCGGTCGCTCGTCCGGGCAACCTGCTTTTTCAGTTCTAAATTTGCCATAAAATCAGTCACACAATAAATTAAAGTTACAAAAACAATTTCTCTGGTCCTGTTTTGCTTTCATCACGAGAAATACGGGTCAAAACACGTCAACAAAGTTTCTCTCCGCTCATAAAACGGCCATATTTGAAAATCGCCCTATAATGCATTGCAATCCCTTGAATAAATGTACGTCATGTATGCCGATGGATTGTGTCTCTGGTGATGTCTAACTGAAGAAAAGGCAATATTCTAGTTGCAAAATAATTATTTTGTCAACAAATATTGCTGTAAATCGACGTGATGCTCCCTGTTGACATTAAATTTACAACTTTTCAGTGAAAAAAGCTGTGAAAAGATTATTAGATAACTTTGTTGCAACTGGAAAAAGCCATGTAATGATGTGGTGGGTTATCAAAACTATCCAAACTTTTCAGTGTTTTTAGACATGAAATATACTATTTGGTGCTTCAAAATGCAGAAAAATGCATCTCCGGGAGTCTAGAATGTCAAAATTTTCTGGGGGGGGGGGGGGGGGGCATTCCCTGTACCCCCTAACTGCTTGTTCGGGCACAAGCTTCTGGGCTTCGCCCATGTTACGCCTGTCTTTTTAAAAGAGACAGCTGTTCAATTTTCTACTGAGAACCCTGCATACTGCTAGGATTAGAATTTGTAGAATCTTATTCACATATTTCTATCGCTTCCATTTTAAAATGGAATTCTAGTGAAAAGTTTTAAAAGTATCATTAGTTTGATTAGCAGAAATACAAATTTTAATCTGTAGATGTACAATCGTTTTTTACTTTCTTGGAACATTAATTATCCTTAATAATGTCATCCAAAAACTATGAGGGAAGGGTGTTCCAAAGCCTGTATTTCTTGTACATCAAAGCCAAGTTTAAAGGGACACTGTAGTCCACTTAGTGTGATTCAAGAAACTCAAAAACATGCTAATGCATAAGAAACCCAACAATAATGGTAACAAAAGCTCGTTAAGAAGTAAGAATGACTAATAATGGCATGGATGGAAATGGATTACAACATGAACAAATTTATGTGAAGCTAGGGCACTTTTCAGTTTGGCTAAGATTCTTCCACAATCAATCCAGGATTTTTTTTGATAGAGGGGGTCCAAACCTGTACACAGTAGATACTACATGTACTCCATGTACACCATTAACCCCAGAAGAAGTGACGACCATGCAGGTACATGTAAATAGGAAACATTTAGCTGAGGAGCAAGAAATGTACTCTTAATTAAGAGTACATTTTTTGCATTATTTTATTACTAACAGTTTGGAACAAATACTTCATAATAGTCAACAATGCTGTTGCTTAAAACGTATTCTCTATTACCTTCCTAAACTGCATAACTAGATTCATCAGACTGCTTGTAGTAGCATTGGTGGATGATGAAGAAGTTGATGTATAAACAAGGTCTTCAATGGAGATCTTGTTTTTAACTGCTTGATAAAGCCATCGTTGCCTTGTTGTTAGATGACAAACCAGCTTGATCTCAATCTGAATTAAAGGAGGAATGGTAAAATTTCAGGATGTTTCAGCTCCTAACAAAACAGTAATCAACTAACTAATATCAACTTCATAACTTTGAAATAACCTTTTACTACAACATGTGCGAATCAGAAAAGCGTGAACACTTTGATTTAACGCTTGGATTTTTCTTTGCCGAAAATTGGTCTATTATTTCCTGTATTTATTTTATTGCTATTTTCGCAAAGCTTTTCTGCAAAAACAAAGTGTAAATTTGAGTTTCCTGACTATTCTTCTTGCAGTTTCATCATGTCAAAGTTAAATCAAAGTGTTCACGCTTTTTTGATTCGCACAGTAACATTTTATTGTACTACAGTCAAACCTCCGCTAACGGTCACATCCCCTAGGTGGACACCTCTCGTAAGCGGAAACTTAGTCACGTACCCAGCTACATACAAACACTACATTTTTAACCTCCCATAAGCGGACACCTCTCGTAAGCAGACACTTTTTCTGGTCCCGAGGGTGTCCGCTTACGAGAGGTTCAACTGTATTTCACATCGTTATGGTGACTTCAAAGACCAACTTTTGATGCTAAGGTGATGACCGAGAGCTTGTTTGTATTTCACATTAATTTGGTTCAGAGATTCAAAAATAAACAAAACGTACCTTTTCAGAAAGCTCATTTTCCACATCACGTTTTATTCTCCTCAACATGAAGGGCTTCAAGATCATGTGAAGTCTTGAAAGCTGATCTGAAATGATTATAACAAGAACATCAATCTGATTCATTTCTATCTTCTCCTTGCCTTTCTCTAACAAATCAAAGCAGCAAGGTCATAAGAATAAAGGATTTGATCAACTCATTTTAAAAAGAGTTGAGAAACCGTTTCACTCCCAGGGCTTTTGTAACTTTTCAGTGACATTTTCTGTTAAATATAATTGTTTTTGTCCTTTGGGTTTGACTTTGAGTAATCTCAAACTCTATAAAAAATTAGCAGCCAAAAACACTTTGATTCAAGAGAAATTAAAAGCTTGATTGACTGTTAATAATCCAGGATTAGTTTTAATCGGCTTTTAAGGTTATTCCTTAGTATTGCATTGCGCATCCTTACTGCGCATGATTTCACACGTAATTAGCGCGCGCACATTAAGAAAATGGCGGCTTTTCCTTTATGGCAAAGCTCACCAGAGAGATAAATCGTTGTTTTCTCGTAAACGAGTACCGTGACCTATCAATTTTTTCTCTTATTTTGAGTCTAGCAATCACCTTCTTTCTATAAAATGAATATAGACTAATTTATATTGCAGAAGAATAAATAATCACCGGAAACGTGAACTTAGCCAGTACTCGTGAAAATATAATTGTGGCCTCGAGAACACTGCATGCTAGGAACAAGTTGAATCAGTATCGATTAAAAATGCGTGCCTTTATCATAAAACATACATTAAATTGTTCCTTGAAGTTGATGCAGTATATTTATTGTTATATATTTCACGTTTTGCTTTCTCCCTATTTTTTCTGCTCCCACGAAACGTAAAGTGAACGGTTAAAATAAAAACGTTTCTGGAAGCTGAGATTGTACGGAATTATGGGGTATATACAAGGTCCTCCTGCTCCTAAACGAATACCGAAGTTCCCTTAAGATAAACAACCAATAGGCAAAGTTTGAATGAAAATCCATTGTAAGTTCTATTTTGATGGAATGACCTTAAGCAATGGGGCCCAGGAGTGTCCGATTACAATTTTTTTAAAAGTACCACTACATGAATGTACCACATGAAATATTTAATTGGATACATTGGAATGGTTACACATCGGAGTTTCATTCACAGACATATTGATGATGAAAGACTGGGAAACAGAGATAGTACAGAAGACTTTCATGTTGTTTTGTTGTTATTTTTCCATCACTATTTTTTTAAGTCAAGAAGAAAACATAGTAAAAAAAACAACGTTTTAACCTCAATAGATTTAACTTCAATTTTCACAGAGGGAACCCAATAGTATCACAATCACATTCTCCCTGTCCAGCTACTGTGAGTGTTTTTTCAAAAAGCAATAAGCAAAATGAAACTGGAAAACGCCGCACAAGAAATAAAGAGGATGCCGAAAATTAAAGCAAGCGCCTGCAACGGGTTGCGTCAAGGAGGGACTTGTCGCCGAAATGAGATTTCTCAGGTACTTTAACGTTGTTTTGTTTGTAAACCGTGACCTGTAACATTTACAAATAATATTGCGAGCCCTGATTCATTTCAGAAAACCAAATTTTGCAACAAAACTATATTTAAAGCCGCAATTTTGTACATTTTCAGGTTCAACAGTGGTGACCTTGATCAAAGCGTTGAGTGGAGTAAAAGGCGAGGAAAATGTCTCAGATCGCCATCGACCGGGGGAACGTTTGCCGTGAAAAGTTCACACTGATTTAGCAGCATATGACACTTCTGTGGCTTATTAATTTTTATTAAAAAATACGTTTTTCTCGATAACTTGCATGTGTTTCAAGATTTGAAAACTTTTTCTTCTAAAAATGTTAGATCAAATAATCAACTTTAATTTGGTTGCAAAAAATATTTTCGCAAAAGTAACCTCGGAACAACCCCCGAAAAGAAAGTGAAGACAAGTTTTATTTATAATGGGAGCTGAAAGTTTCAGATACTGTTAGAAAACATAGTGTTTATTGAAATACTGTACCTTGGTCAATGCCTGATTTGTTTTCAGCATGATTTTCAATGTCCTTTGAGAACCACTCATTGAACTCTTCATGAGAATCAAACATAGTCGGCATGATGAAATGTAATAATGCCCACAGCTGTCACCAAAAAACATACCAAAAATACACTATTAGATTTATTGAATTAAACTATCAACTATCAATGTCTCAACCTCCAGTGGGCATGTGAGTTTACATTCCCCTCCCCCCCCCCCCCCCCCCCCAAAAAAAAAACAAGAGTGAGTTTAGGAGAACATAACATTATTTGTTAACCCAAGCCACTTTCTTTAAAAAAAATTATTTAGGAGAGGCATTGATATTGTACCTGTAACTGTGTTTATGTCATGGTTTAAATTGGTTTGAGTTTGATTCTTATTTTCCCTTGTTTGAGACTATTGTAATGAATATTAGAAAAAAGGAAAATGGCCAGGGTCAAATGTGTTGTGTTCTTGGGTGCCCAGGAGTATTTACTTGAGTACCGGTGAACTGTTAGGGAAACCTGACGATATGCTGGGGGTTACATGCGATGGACATGCATCCCATCCAGGGGAGTAGCAACACTCCCCAGTCACTTCGTGCTATGGAATCCGGGATAAGTTCCGGCAGCGTGGGATAGTTT